GGTCATCCAGTCTAATTAGCATATTACACTTTTATTATTATTGATATATTTTTATTGATTTTAGAGAGAGAAGAAGGAAGAGGGATAGCTAGATGGAAACATTGATGAGAGAAACATCATCATAGATCAGCTGTTTCCTGCACGCCCCCTACTGGGGATGGAGCCCGCAACCAGGGCATGTGCCATGACAGGGAATGGAACCAGTGACCTCTTGGTTCATGGGTCGCCACTGAGCCACACAGGCTGGGCTGTCTTTTTAACATGCCATTTTTTAGCAGTCCTGACACACAAGATGTTTCAGGCTTATCTTATATTTACCTGCCCCAGGTCAGGAATCAGCCATTTCTCCAAGGAGCCCTGATTTCTTTCATAGGAGAATTGCCCATTGCTTCTAGGTGCTATTGCTTCCAGGCTCTCTAGTAGATAGAGCCAGGAAATAAGTGTATCCATATACACACTAATGCTCTACTAGTCCCATTCTACAAATTCAGTACAGAAAAGTTAAGCAACTTGTCCAAAATTACAAAGCTAATATGTGGTGGAACTAAGGAATTAAAATAATGATAGATTTACCATGAGTCCTAACAAGTGGAATAGCTTCTTTACACATATAAGTCAGCAAAAAGTAACAAGCCTAATATTCCAGCATAGACCCTCTCTTTGGGCATTAACTAGAAGTCAGCAATTACAACCACAATAAAAACTATTGCCCTGGCCAGTTCCAGTTTTTCTCAGTGGTTAGAGTGTCGGCCTTCAGAGAGAAGGGTCTCAGATTCAATTCTGGTCAAGATTGCAGGTTGCAGGTTCCCCAGCCCCAGTAGGGGCATGTGAGGGAGGCAACCACGGAGGCAACCAATCTCTCTCTCTCCCAATCTCTCTCTCCCAATCTCTCTCTCTCTCTCTCTCTCTCTCTCTCTCTCTCTCTCTCTCCCATCCCACTGCCCTCCCTCCCTCCTTCCTCCCTCCATTTCACTCTTTCTAGAAATCAACGAAAAAATATCCTCAGGTGAGGACTTAAAAAAACAAACTACCATGTACTGAACTCCTGCTTGAGCACTGGGCACTCACAGTATCTCATTTATTCATTTTCCAAATCAGAAAACCAACAAAGAAGCTAAGTGACTTGTCCAAGGCTACATAGTTAAGTGGCAGAGCAAGCAGTTAACCCCAGATCCAACTGGATATAAAGTCCATGTTTATTCCACTGTGTCAGTAATTTTCAAAACTAATTTTAGATTAAGCATAAAGTGGCTTTTATTTTAGTAGTTATGTTTAACTTAATGCATGTTAGAAAAAACCTAAGCACGTAATCAAACCCATAACCTCATAATTAATATTCCATAGTATAAGGTTGTTTTTAAATAAATTAAATTTAAAGAAAAAGTATGAAGTAAACAGTAGAGGTGGTACAAGCTATAGCAAAAATCATAAAGGTAGTCCATAAATGCTATAGCAAACACACCGTTTCATTTTTAGTCACACCATGATGTTACGGTCAAATAGGGCTGCAGAAAGTACAACTCTTGGACCCGAATTTTAGCTCTAGATGTGTCTCCATTACCTTTATGAATGTGGCCCTTTCATTTGCTCTCTCTGGGCCTTGAAAAATGAGAGATAGTGATTTCATTAGCAATTTGGGGCCCTTGCCGGGTAGCTCTGTTGGTTGGAGCATCACCCTGATACACCAAGGTTGCGAATTTGATCCCAAGTCAAGGCACATAAAAGAATCAACCACTCTAGGCAGTTTTGCCCAGTGGATAAAGCATTGGCCTGCAGACCAAAGGGTCCCAGATTCAATTCTAATCAAGGGCATGTACCTCAGTTGCAGGCTCCTCCCTGGCTGGGGCTTGTGCAAGAGGCAACCAATCAATGTGCTTCTCTCACATCGATATTTCTCTGTCTTTCCCTCTCTCTTCCACTCTTTCTAAAAATCAATAGAAAAATATCCTCAGGTGAGGATTTAAAAAAATAATAATCTATAATAATAAAAGCGTAATATACAAATCAACCGAACAGCAGAACGACCATCCAGATGACCTTCCAGACGACCACGCTATGACATGCACTGGCGCCAGGCCAGCCAAGGCAGGTGCGATGCGATTGGTCAGGGGGCCCCGCCATCACCCCATGATCCCCCCCCCCCCCCGCAGAGGGAGGGCCAGGCCACCCTCTGCGGAACGATGAGGGAGCTCCGGGATCAATCACCCCGCAGAGGGAGGCCCAGGGCACCAACTAGCGGGGCTATCGATGGAAGAGGGGGGACTCCGCGATTGCCCCAAAGAGGGAGGCCCAGGCCACTCTCGGCAGAGCAATCCATTGTGGAACCAGTTGGGCGGGCCTCCCTCTGCTATGACAGGAGGGTGGGGCCTCCCTCTGCAGAACGATCAATCTGGGGGCCCCCCCACGATGGATCACCCCAGAGTGTGGCTGGTGTGCGGGGCCAGCCAGTGATTGCCCCGCAGAGGGAGGCCCAAGCCAGCCAAGCAATCGCACCCCACACCTGTTGCCTACAGAGGGAGGCAACTGGTGGGGAGGGAGGGGGGACAGTGCCACACAGATGGCAAGTAGTGGCAACGGCAGGGGCAGAGCCAGCTGCTGGCAGCTGGAGGAAGGAAAGCCCCGATAGGTCTGATCGCCGGCCAGGCCTAGGGACCCTATCCCAGGGCTCCCGGATTGTGAGAGGGTGCAGGCCGGGCTGAGGGACACTCCCCTGCACGAATTTCGTGCACTAGGCCTCTACAATAATGTATAAATGTATTTATACATTTACACAATAAATGTATAAATAAGTAGAACAATAGATATATGTTTCTCTCTCCCTTCTCTCTTAAAATCAATAAATTTTTTAAAAAATAAAAGCATTTTAGTAATGATACCAAGAAACATAGATCTGTTCTTAACTTTTGATCCAGAAATTCCATTTTAGGAAATTTTGCCCAAGACAATAATACAAAATTTAGAAAATAGGTACAAGCACACAAATTTATCAATATCCAAAAATAAAGCAATCTAAATATTCTGCAATGGAAGAACAGTTAAATAAGTTGGAGCACATATACTTGTTGGGAGTGTTATGCCATCATTAAAAACAAAGATGTCAGCCTAGCCGTTTGCTCAGTAGTTAGAGCATCGGCCCAAGGACCAAAAGGTTGTGGGTTTGATTCCTGGTTAAGGGCGCAAACCTGGATTGCAGGCTTGATCCCCATCCCCAGTCAAGGCACATGAGTGAGGCAGCTAATTGATGTGTCTCTCTCGCATTGGTGTTTCTCTCTCTCTCCCCCCACCATCTTCTCCCTCCCCTCCACTCTCTCTAAAAACAAAAACAAAAAAATCAATTAAAAAATATCCTCAGGTGACATTGCAACATGCTTACAAAGTAAACAAAAAAAAATTTGTTCACATAACGGTACTATGGTTATCACTATATAAAGAAAATTATATGCAAGAAACATACCAAAATACCAACAGTTGGTAAGAATAAAGATTTCTTTATTTGTACTTTCCAAATTTTCTCTAATGTAGTTATATTACATTTAGAATGAAAAAACAAAAAACTTTTCAATGAAGAGATCCAAACAAGATTCCTCTGGCTCTAATATTCAGGGGCTTTTCCCTGGAACTAGGAGAAGTCAGGAGAGAATAAAGTGTTAGAAAAGTTTACATGGCAGGGGCTATGTCTGTTTAAATTACTTTTAACAGCACATAAAAACATTTAAAAACCAGCACTTGAGGAAATGATGCAACACCCTCCATCTTGGTGGTAGAAAGGGCACAAGTCTGGGAAACAGGAGACCTGAACTGAACCAGATGATCTCTAAGGGCCCTCTCTATACAACTTATCCACTCACTATTGAACAAATATTTACCAAGTGCCTACCATGTGTCAGGAACATGCAACTGAATGACTACTTAGCTACTGGTTCAGAGTCTAGAAGGGAAAAAGATTTTTAGTTTGCTAGGGCTGCCGTAGCAAAATACTGTCTCACAGTTCTAAAAGCTAGGAGTTGGTTTGGTTTCTTATGAAGCCTCTCTCCTAGGCTTGCAAATGGACCTCTTCTTGGTCATTCCTCTGTACACATACATCCATAGTGTTTCTTTATGTCTTCAGATATCTTCTCGTAAGGACTCAAGTCAGATTGGATTAGGGCCCACCAAAACAACTTCATTTTTACTCAATCCCCTCTTTAATGGCCCTATCTCCAAATACAGTCATTCTGAGATATTGAGGGTTAGGGTTTCAACAAGAATTTTGAAAGGGACACAATTCAATTCACAACAGATTCCAAACAAAAAACTATAATGGTGCAAAAATAGAGCTGCACTCAAATATGATGGTGAACCATGTGAAGGAATAATTATTTCTGACAGGAATAGCCAAAACTACTATACAGAGGATAATCACCTCGGCCTGGTTCTAGCTCCAGAACCTCAAGTCTATATATAAACCATCATCCTTGATTATCATGAAAATATTTTAGTTATCACAAAATGGGAATAAAAAAGCATCAGGTGATAAGACATACCTGAATAGAGGCCAAAAGAGGAATGGCTTTTGTTCCAGGGGAGCAAAGGTAAATATCATATTTTTATAGTTGGACTGGGATTAGGGATTCAAATACAGCAAACTTAGAGGTCAGGTGAAGATCCTGATGGGTTTATGGAAGAATCTGCTTGTTCCTTAAGTTATGAGGATTTTATTGTGTGTGTTGGGGGGGGGGGGATCTTGATTAAGCCCCATCTCTGTCCTCTCTTCCATCCAGAAGTCATTCTTTCTCTACTTACCTCCAGCTAAACTTTTCTCTAGGCTGGATTTTCAACCTCAATTCCTTATCCATTTAAAATACTCTTCAGTACTTGAGTTAAAATACTCCTAGATCCCTAAGTGAAAAAAAGGAAAAGAAATGGAACTGAGCTAAACTAGGTAGCACAATGCTGGGGGATCATTTCTGTTGGCCCTTTTCCTTTCCAGTGTCTGGAAGTGACCTGTTTACTTTCAATAGGAGTCGCCAGAGGCCACAAGGACAAACGCCAGGCTTCTGGGAGGTGGCTCCAGGAAGGTGGCCAAGAATGTGAGTGCAAAGGTCAGTAACTCAGTCTCAACAACAGTGATACACCATTGATACCCCGATCATCTCCCTTGAGTCCCTGAGACCAGTGGAGAAGTTAGCTGAGCTGACTTACCCATTCCTATCTGCACCAGCCCACCACATGCAGCAACACTTGTTTTCTTCTGGAGTCTCCTAAGAAGGCCTGACTCCTCCAAGGTCTAAATCTCTGCCTGCCAACTCCCCCTTATTTTTTCCCTAAGAACCCAGTGCCACCTTCCAAAAGCTTCCTGGATCTTATTCTCAACCTTATGTTACTCACTGGTAAGACTGAAATCAGGCAAAATGGCTTGCTCCAGGTAAAGCAGCTACTGGAAGGCTGACACCTATGTCTTATTCTTCATTTTTTAGTCTCCCTAATGATATCCTGCTGCCTTCTCCACACCTGCCACTAAATTCTTGCTAACACAGATCAGGAAAAAAATGCTCAGAAATCCTATATAATAAAAGCTTAATATGCAAAGCCTAATATGCCAGGAGTTCGACCGAGAACTCGACTGGAGGGAGCGGGGGCAGTGCAGGGCCAGCTAACCAACCACCCGAGGCCCCTCCCCCGGCCAGCCCTGTCCCTGATCACCCCACACACACACACACACACACACACACACACACACCCTGATCAGGGGCAGGACCAGCCAGCCAACCTCCAGCATCCCCTCCCCCCTTTCCCCCTCCGCCAGCCTGGCCCAATCAGCCCCAATCGGGGCGGGCCTGCCGGACCCCACCCATGCACAAATTCATGCACTGGGCCACTAGTATATTTATAACTGGATACCTCCACTGTTCCATGTTGACCCTTTTCCCCATCCTATTGCAGTGTAAAAAAAAAGCAAAGATGGCAAGTAAAGCCCTACCCTACTCCCTACTCTCAAACATGCTAATCCTCCCATCTAAGCAGCAACCCTGTTATTTCAGATTGGTTCCTGAGAGCTCCTAAAAGAAAACTCATGGCAGTGCCCACGCTTCCAAAAAAGCAGTGTCCCTGTGATCATTTGAAGGGCAACATGAAGAAAACCAGTAAGTTTCAAAAGAATGAAACTTCTTAAACCAGAGTCACTCAGTGTAATCAACTAGGAATGAAGCAGGGGCTGAGAACAGACAATAGAGGTGAAATGAAGACCAGGATAAACATCTCAGTGCTTTCTACTTGTGTCAACTTGTGGGGAAACAGGAAGAGGAAGAAAAGCAGGATACAATTCTACTAATACTAGAGAGATTTAACCAAGTCTTAGATTTTAGAACCCCATTGCTTATCAAAGTGGAGGGAGATTGGGGACCTGATCATTGATCTCTGAAAATGACACCGGTGTCACCCAACCAGTATGGCTTAGTGGTTGAATGTTGACCTATGAGCCAGAAGGTCACAGTTGGATTCCCAGTCAATACCCAGGTTGCCGGCTCAATCCCCATTAGGAGGGCATGTAGGAGGCAGCCAATTAATGATTCTCATCATTGATGTTTCTGTCTCTCTCTCCCTCTCTCTTCCTTTCTGAAATCAGTTAAAAGTATATTTTAAAATAGGCAAAATTAAACTAAATTATTTAGGAATATATATATTCCTAAATAATTTATTGAGGAAACATCAATGTGAGAGAGACACATAGATTGGTTGCCTCCCACATGCGCCCCTACCTGACACTCTATCCACTGAGCCAAACTGGCTAGGGCTCATTTTTATTTTTTAAAGTAAACTTAATAGTTTACATACAAAAAGATATGGGAAAGTATATAGTAAAATATTAACAGTAGTTTGTTCTTGGGAATGGGGAGTGGAATTGGGGGAGAGTTGTCCTTTTACATTTTTTACTGCATATATTTTTTTATTTTAATTATTTTCCACTGGATGAGTCTTACTTTTATAATTTTAAAAGCTCTCATAAAAAATAAATTTAAAAAATTTTTAACACTAGTGTCTCCCCTTTATTTTCACCCTAGGGCACCAAAGGCACCACAGGAAGCCAAACAAGCACTCCAGAGCCTGCCAGCAATTTATCAAACGCTGTCAGCTAGCAAGCTTTACTCTGCCTCTATAGGAACTCTGAGAGCCTGCTCTCCCAATGAAGCATTCTTAGTCAAAAGAGAATGTTCTTCTCCCACCTCAACTCCCTCTCCTTGTCCCCACTCTCTAAATCATTCCAGGGTTCTCAAAAAGCATTTTTCCCAAGATTATTTTGATTATTGTTCCCTCTAGTGCTTTTTCTTGTCAGTCTTTTCCTGTACCCTCTCATTACTCAGGCTTCATTTAAACTTAATTACCTGAAAGAAACCAGGAATCCTGAAAGAAACCAGGAATCCTGGCTCCCTAGCTGGTTCCATCTGACCTTAAATACAACCAGGCAAGTAGCAAACATAAGTCAATAAATATTTTTAGATGTAATAGGGCCCAGCGAATGTGGCTCATGGTTGAGGGTCAACCTATGTATGAACCAGGAGGTCATGGTTCGATCCGAGTCAGGGCACATGCCCAGGTTCCAGGCTAGATCCCCACTGGGGAGCATGCAGGAGTCAGCCGATCAATGATTCTCTGTCATCACTGATGTTTCTCTCTCTCCCTCTCCCTTCCTCTCTGAAATCAATAAAAATATATTTTGAAAAGAGTGTAATAGGCCAAAATCATTTCTTTCAAAAGGGGTCTAGCAACTCGCATTCAATCCAGATGACCCACTTTTCCCTGTTCACTACAAATTCAACCCAGATTCTACATCTACAGATACTTCTTCACACCAAATAGCGCTGTGTGTGTGTCTTTCCTGCCAAATTTTTTATTCTTTTACTCTTTCAACCAACCTTTCTGAGGTAAGAGATAAGTGGGACAAAGAAAACAGGTATACCAATGAATCAGACACGGTCTTATCTATATAATAAAAGTGTAATATGCTAATTAGACCAGACAGCTGAACGACCTTCTGGACATCATTCCGGATGAAGCGGCGGGGGCTGAGGCAGAGGCGGTTAGGGGAGATCAGGCAGGCAAGTGGTTAGGGGCGATCAGGCAAACAGGCAGGTAAGCAGTTAGGAGCCAGGAGTCCCGGATTGCGAGAGGGTGCAGGCCAGGCTGAGGGACCCCTCCGCCCCTGTGCATGAATTTCGTGCACCAGGCCTCTAGTTAAAGATAATATAGGTCTAAAAAACTATATACTAGGTAATTTCCTAGTATATAGAACACTTTTAGGATTTGTGGTAGTTATCATCATCATCATCTTCATCAAGGGTCATTGTACTCTGTGAGTTTCCAAACTAGTACAGAAGACATATATGCAGAACCATAGATTCAGAGCTAGAGAGATAGTGTGGAAGATCTCAAATACCATTGAAAAGGGCTTCAAGCTGTACAAATGAGAGGCCATCATTCATTTTTTTAACATGGGAGTGAAATTATAGAGTAATAATATAAGGAAATTAAACTGGCAACCATTTGAAAGTATAAATAAAGAGGAAAAGATTATTACTGCAGTACAGAGACAGCTTCCCCCTCTGATCCTTTCCTCAAACATCAGAAGGGAAGAAAAAAAAAAGGAACACTCATCCAGAATCTGGCTTCTGTCATCCCAGAGGACTAAGTTGGATGCTGCCTTATAAGAAAACAAAAACAAAAGCATTTTAACTGAGTGGTGAGTAGGGTGGGGCCCTATTTATGACACAAGAGGGCAAGCCCCTCCCCTCTGGTAGAAGAGTGGTGGGCAACCAGCCTCCTCCTGTTTCTAATCCACAGGAGTTTGGGGCCAGCAGTGGCCAGCCCACTGGCCAACTGCCTAAAAAAAGACCAGAAATGCCAGGATAAAGGAGTGGAACCCAAAGAGAGGTGTCATCATGAGGAATCAATGAGGCATCTGTAACAAAGGAGGCCTGGTGGGGGCCAGAAGAATGAAGCCTGGGAGAGCAACATCTCCCATGAGGGAATTAACAACAGTGGACCCAGGTTCTAAGTCAGTATCTAGTCCTGACTGGGAACCTGAGCCACACCAGATACCGATCACCCAGCCAGAGCCTGGCCCAGAAAAGACACCCACAGCACAGCCAGAATCTACGACTCAGCAGGGACCCAATACCCAACAGGAGCCTGCTTCCCAGCAAAGACCCCTCACTCAGCAGGAGTCCCTTGCCCAACCTGAAGCTGAATCCCAGCAAGAAACTAGAGCCCAACAAAAATCCGCTTTACAGCAGGAACTCCTTGCCCCACAGGAGCCTGCACCACAGCAATCACCTCCCATCCAAAGGGTGCCCTTCACTCCAGAGGGAGCTGCCTCACAGCAAGGACCTGGGACAGAAAAAGAATCTAGAACTCAACAGGAGCCAGAAGTGGAAGAGGAACATGTGGCTCAGCCAGGATCTGGCCCAGTAGAGCCACCTCTAGCTCAGCAAGAAGCTGGATCAACACCTCCTTCCCAAACTGAACCTATGTCCCAAGAGAAAGCAGGACAGTCAGACCCTAATGGCCAGCAAACAGCTCCAGACAAGTCCCAGCGGGGATCTTTGAGCGAGTGGGGATTTCTATCAAAACTTCACGAACTATCCATACAGCGGCCTGCCTCGGAGTGGAAGACATTTCTTGAGTGGATCACAGATTTTGACTCAGAATCAGATCCGGGGTATCCGTTGGAGATGGACTCACCAGCCATGAAGGATGGAACCACGGCCCAGGGGATGAAGCTGGACCTCAAGGAGAAGCCTGGTGATGAAGAGATGTCAGGCTCTGGTGGGACATCAGCCCAAGAGACGAAAACCAGCAACCAGAACCACAGACACTCCTGGGACACGGGTGAGTTGCGCTTGGAGGAACGGGGTCTCCCAGGGATGGCTATTCATTCATCATGAAGTGCTGAGACCCTCCATCCCGGGAGCAAGCCAGTGCCTCTCCCTCCCCTGGTCCCCTCCCCCGGCACGTCACCATTAGCTTCCTCACTCCGAAGCTCCACGCGTCCTTCCTTTACCCTTTAACTTAAAATAGAAGAAGTACCGAGAGCTGCCTCTCTCAGGTCAGCTCAGGTGATCCCTTAAAGGTTCTGTGAAACAAAGATCAACAGCCCCATTTGATCGATGAGGAAGCCGAGGCCTTGAGATGTGAAGGATCTGACACGAGGGGGGCAGTGGGAAGTGGCCCGCCCAGGATTCAAAGCCAACGAGGCTGCCTTCCTTCGAAGGATTTGGGGTAAATCGAAGTGTGAAAAGTTCTGAGCCAGGGGCCCGAACAACAGGGAAGCCTGGTGTATTCATCCATCCCTCCCCAAACCCACTGAAGCGCAATTCGGCGGCAGACGCTGGAGTGTGCTCCAGAGACACAGGCTGAAGGGGGCCCCTTACTAACCTCAGGGAGTGTCCATCCCACTCGGCCCACGTCTGTGCCTTAGCCATCCTTGAGCTGCCCGGTCTTCCCTCCGCAGCAGGACACCTGCTCTCCTCCCAGGCTGGCCCCCCACAGAAGTCCCAGTCCAGCCAGGCCTGAAGGCCTTATGGGGTGTGTTCTGGAAGGGAGAGCCTAGGAGAGGAGCTGGGGTCTGCCAAGTCCCAGACAAGGGCGGGGCTAGAGGAAGGCAGAGCTGGGGGGAGTAGGAGGGGGGGTGATGGCTGCCTGCCCTCCCTCCCCTCCTCTGAAGCAGTGCGGGGAGGGGGGTCTAGCTCCCATCCCCATTCTCTAAGCTCCAAAGCCCTGCCAGGCAGAAGCAGGCATCAAGTGTTCTCCCTGGAATGAAGGGTTGCTTGTTGAAGTAGCCGGAAGAGGGGAAGCTTGCAGCTCCACTCCAGAAGCCGAGGGCCGGCACCGGCACCGCTGACCCAGCCCAGAGGCCTCCCCGCCGAAGGGGCTGGCCCGACCCTCTCAGGGATGAGAAGGTCATTGGTGTCGGTGCCAAGGCTGGCGGTAGGCCTGGCGGGGGGGGGGGGGGGGACACGGGGGGACGGAGAGGTGGATGGAAAGAGAGGGAGAGAGGGTGCCAGGCGTTTTTCCGGTGCTGAGGGTGAAGGGTTGTGTCTCTAGGCCCCCAAACCGCCGGAGCGACCAGGCCGCCTCTCCTGAAGCGCCCAAGCGCCATTGAACGTGTGCGCATGCGCGAGCCTCGAGCCTCCACCGTTTCCCGCCTTTTCCCGGGCGCGCGCCTCTCCTAGCGCCGCCCCTCCCTGCCCCTGGCCAGCGTCTTGGGGCTACTACGCAGGCGCCTAGTATTCTCCTTGCCTCTCCCTGTCATTCTTGAGGGAGAAGGTAGAGAAAGGAACCGCGAGAAACCGAGCAATGAGAGAACTAGCAGGCAGGGGGCGGGGAGAAGGGCTTCCTCCTCCAATGGCTCGCAGGCAGAGCCCGCCTCCAGCGCTGGCGCCCGCCCCGACTTTGAATCGCCCGAGGACCTGGCCCGCCCCCTGTCCTCAAGGGGAGGCTCCGTGGCGCCTCGCTCTCCCCGCCAGCGTGCGGGCCGGGTGGCGTTCTAAGGGATCCCCACATGGGAAGGTGAGTGGGCGGACAAGGCTGAGAACCAGCATGTGATCCGACCGAGGCTTCCGCGCTAGGGAGAAACCGTGCGACTCCCCACTAGTCCCGACTGAAGAAGGACGCTCTGCGCCGCCTCCAGGGCTGCATTTTTTGTCGGTCGCGGGTCCTTGATGCGTATGAGGGGGCGGGGCCAGTCCTTAGGTCCCGGCAGCTGGGGGCGGGGCCCGGCGGTGGGGTGAGGCCCGGATAGTCCAGGGGGCGGGACCCCGAGCGGAGCAAGGCCAGGATTGGGTGGTATGGGGGCCCGGCGGTGTTGTGGTAACAGGAATGGCACTCGGGGCGGGGCGTGGGGCTTGGAATTGGTCCCCGTGGGGAGCTGAGGAGAATTGATGGAGTCAGCCGGGAAAGAGGGACCCGCCGGGGCCCCTGGGGACCGGGCCTCGAAGAAAGACAAAGAGAGATCCAAGAGGCAAAGCCGCCGGCGATGGCGAAAAATCAAGGCCAAAGGTGAGCACGCGGGGGCCGGCAACAGCCCGGAAGGAACCTTGGACATCCTGCGGGGACTGGGGACTGAGTGGACTGACCCACCGGCTCGAGAAGTAGGGGAGTCCATGGACTGGCCCATTGCCGCTCTGCGGGGGAACGCGGCGATGCTGGGAGCGGACTGTACCCCCAGCGTAGAGACTGCCCGACGCTCCGCTGCTGTCATGGGAGGAGAGTCCTGAATGCGAGTCTTCTGGGCCAGAGTTCCCGCTGTGGCTCCGCACTCGCTGTGTGGCCGTGGGCAACTCCTGCCCTCAGTGTTTCCCACCTGGGAAATGGTCGGAGCGCCCGGTTCTCAGGTCT